AGATATCACATTACTGCCATGTCCACAACCCACTTCTGCCCCTTCAAAATGCTTTCCAGTGGGCTGTCCCTGAGGCATAACTATCAGCTCTGAGTCTGCTGTCACAGGTGATGAAGGCCATCACTGACTGTATGGCAGGATTCATTCTCCCATCTTTCTAAATTCTTTGGTATAATTTCGCAAGCTGTCAGGTCCCATTCTGTAAGACCCAACCCAGTTTAGGAAATTCATCTTTAGGACGCTCCTTCAGCAGACTGAGACTGTTCTGAACCAAGGTCATCATTTTTCTCAAACACCACCGGGCTCATCTTTCAGTCATTACTATCATACTTCCTACCTGCCTTCCTGAAACGGTCTGATGTGACTGTTTCTTGCATAGGTGTGTGTGCAGAGCAGAGGCTGCCATCGGGGGTCATTACTATCATACTTCCTACCTGCCTTCCTGAAACGGTCTGATGTGACTGTTTCTTGCATAGGTGTGTGTGCAGAGCAGAGGCACCTTCTTGCTTTCTGTTTTGTGTTTTGAGACACAGTCTCACTATGTAGTTCTGGCTGGCCTAGAACTCACTCTAAAGGTGTCCACTACCATGCCCCACTTTCTACCTTATTTCTAGGCACAGAGTCTCTTACTGATGGGCTTGGCAATGACCTCTAAGGGACTTACCTTCTGTGTGCCGGATGCTTTGCCTATGCTACATTCATGCAGTACTCACAGATGCCAGAAGGTGGCATCAGTTTCTCTGGAACTGAAGTCATGGACAGTTGTTAGGTCATGTGGGAGATGAGAACTGAACCTGGGTCTTCTGTCTGGAAGGGCAACAAGTGCTCTTAACCACTGAGCCACTTCTGTCACTATGCCTATCTTATGGACTGTTCTCATAAAGAATTCCTACTCCTAACCCATGAACCACTTCCAAAAGGCTCACGATCTCCTCAAGCAACACAGCTGGACTCTTGTAGATGACGCTGCTTCTGCTGGACCTGAACTCACAATTGGATTGGCAGTGCTTACCAAGCCACTCCATTCCGATTTGTTTAAGTCACACTCTCTCTTCATACACATTTCCAGTGAGCCTGGACGCATCACTCCTAACACTCTCATGACTGGCAATAAACAAAAGCTACTGAGCTTCCTCACTCACCAGCTGAGTGCAGTCTTGTCACTCAGTGGCCTCTCAAGCCAGGGTCTCATTTACAGAGACCACCAGGCGCAAGAAAGGTCTCCCTTCCTGTAGGCATTCTCTGATCATGCAACTCTGCCCTCCTGTCAGACAAAACAAAACATCCCCAATCCTAACAAAGCATGCAGATCTCAGACAGGAGCTTTTAACAAGTGTGACAATTCCATCCAGCCAGACCACCTATCTATCCTGACCCAATTCTTTGGCAAGAACAATTTAAAAGGAAAAAACAAAACAAACAAACAAAAAACCCAAACTATTCCACCCTTTACCAATCAGTCTTTGACTACCTGGAGCCCAACTTGTGATGATCTGCTCAAACACCTGGAACCTAACTCCTAAAGACCCATGGTGCTTTATCCCAGATGGCCAGCCATGAGAAAGACAACAAGTGCAGTAAAACTTACCACTTACTATATGGGGTAGGGTATCAATGCTATGGGGTATAGAGGCAGCAGGATGAGGAGCATGAGCTCATCCTTAGCTACATAATATACGAGGCCAGCCCAGCACACATGACACCCTAGCTCATGAAGTCAGAGGCCAGCCCAGCACACATGACACACCCTATCTCATGAAGTCAGAGGCCAGCCCAACACACATGACACCCTATGTCCTGAAGTCAGAGGCCAGCCTAGCACACATGACACCCTAGCTCATGAAGTCAGAGGCCAGCCTAGCACACATGACACCCTATCTCATGAAGTCAGAGGCCAGCCTAGCACACATGACACCCTATCTCATGAAATCAGGTCAGCCTAGCACACAGGGTATCCTATATAAAAATCTTTTATCAGCTAATAAGATAGTAAAATATCCACTTATTGACCTAGCTATGGACATGACACAAATAGCACAAAGTTAACTGTTACAGAAGAATTCTGATTCTGTTTCATGAGGGATTCATCTAAGAACTTGTCTACCCAACTTGTTTCTGCAGCAGATTTTCCTGAATAAATCCGTGTCTGTTTGGGCTGACACCTACCTTTCCCCTCACATCTCTGGCATACTGTGCTCCCCCAGCACAGCATAAAGTTTACAGGAAAAGCAGACCCTACAGAGCACACAGCATGACAGAGGTTTATATAAGGATATGCTTAACAAGTGGGGCAGGGTGCAGAAGCAAGACACCCCAACTGTGCACACGTTAACGGACGATGTGCTGGCCAGTGCTTCTCAACCCCTTTGGGGTCAAATATCAGAGATCTACACTATGATTCATAACAGCAGCAAAGCTACAGTTACAAAGTAGCAACAAAATAATTTTCCAGTGGGGGTCACCACACATGAGGAACTGTATTAAAGGTTGCAGCATTAGGAAGATTGAGAACCACTGTGCTAGAGAATCGCAATCCAATTGCAAAACAAAGCCAACTGGAAGGCTGGGCAGATAGCTAGGCTGGCCTGGTCCAAGCCCGGAGACCTGTGTTAGATCCCTGAAGCCGCGTAAAGGTGGAAGGAGGGCAGCAACTTCACACATGCACGGTGACGAGCACCCAATTCCCCCACACTGATTTTTACACGTAAGACTACAAACAAACCAATCAAAAGAGACTGTTACTTTTAAGACCGCTGTTTAAAGAAATGGTCGGGCCAGCTAGTTACTAGTTGATCAAGCATCTAAAACTAATAGCTGAACTTAACACTTAACAGTTGCTTAACGTACTGTTTGCACAACAGAGTGTAATTACTGTGAGCAGAGCCGCATTACAATCGCAACAGCTGCTGTCACTTCTTCAAATGATGTAATCCCAGGTAATATGCAGACCAGCCCAAACACTACTCGGAAGGCCAGTTGTAGATGCTTGTAAAAAAAAGTGCAGTTACCTGTGTCAACTTTCATCCTTTATTAACCCAGGCTATAACTCACTTTCCCAAACCCTCTTAAGTTTTTTCTAACTATAAAATGTACATCTGTGAAAACAATAACAAACCTTGGAAACAAGAAGAAAATGAAGATCACAACCCCGCAATCCCACTTTAGACTCAAATTCTTTAGTGATTTATCCACAGACACATTATATTTTCTTACCACATTTGGGAATACAGAAAGTAAATTCCTTGTAACTTCTATGGATTTATGTGAATCTACCACATGCCCAAAACTGTAATTCTCCCAACATCAAGGAACTACAATGCCATCCTTTAAAATGTGTGCATGTAGTGTTTTGATTGTGTGCATTATGTGTACCGCGTGCCAAGTCTGGTACCCACAGAGTTCAGAAGAGTGCGTCAGATGCCTTCCCCAAACTGGAGTCGTGGGCCACCGAGGGGGGCTGGGACTGCAGTAATGCTAGCAGCTTATGAACTATACAATCAGTCTATGCATTCTCTGCATGGACTCATGCAACGTTCAAAATGCCTGACTTGACTTCACCCCACATTCATGTGGTGTAGAAGAAAAGGGAGATTTCAAATCTGGAGTTTCAACATTAGGATGTGTCTCTGTATAAATTAATCCCAAATCTGTTGATGAAAATGGAAATCACTGCACCTATTAAAGAGCTGTTTCAATACAGGCAAAGGAAACACCAGCCAACACTTCACAAGCATATCTCTTTCCTTGAAATTAAATATAACCAGTGTGAAGGGCTGGAGAGATGACTCAGAGAGCCCACTGCTCTAGCAGAGGATGCCGGCTTAGCTCCCAGCACCCACTTCCAGATGCTCACACAGGCCTCTAACTCCACCTCCAGGATCAGACGCCCTCTTCTGGCCTGAGCAGATACCTACACACATATGTGGCACAACCGCTAATTTCACTGTAAAGCACAGATCCAGTGGCTAGAAATGAACACAGAGCCAGGAGTCACAATCTAAATTATTTCACAGTGCAAATGCATAGCAACGACTTGGTAAGGATGCGCCGGGAACTTCACTTCCGCAAAGAAGGAAGTACTGTGAACACGGTTTTTCATGACTGTAAGAACATAGAAACCCAGGGGGTGAAAGAATCGAGAGAGATTTTCCCCTCTCGTCCTCAAAGATAAATCCCGGGAAATTCTGGAAAGAATAATTCTCTACAGAAAATGCCACGGGCGAACATGCAGAGGACAAAGTTCCAGTTTGAAAATTTCTCCCCGCATAGACGCAGGTACCTGAGATGATAAAATTGAAATTAAAACAGTGAACTCTGCCTATGGAATCGGAGAAAGGACGAAGGAAGCCATAGGTTAAAGTCAGAGGCAAGAAACAAAACAAAACAAAACAAACAAAAAACTCCCAAAACACTTCAAAGAAGGAATTGGGCAGAAAACCGCTAGGTATTAGGGTTTGGGCGAAAAGAGATTCACTCTCAGGGAAAAGCAGAATAGTTAAAGTAGAAACGAGGGATTCCTGTGCTCCAGCGTGGAGGGGTTCCAACAAGAGAAACAGGAAGACTTTGGGGAGAGAAGGGGCGTTGGACACCAGCAAGCAGAACAGGAACCGCAAAGCGGGACCTGGGGATTGGGGAGAGCCGAGGTCGGGACCGCAAAGAACCCGGGATGGAAGAGAGCGAGGCCCGGACCGCAAAGCGGGACCCAGGAATGCGGGAAAGCTGAGGCCGAAGACGCAAAGCCGGACCCGGGAATGGGGGAGAATCAAGGCCGGGGGTGCCAAAGAGGGGCCAGGGGACAAGGAGGGAGCGCGGAGGCCCGAACTCAGCGCTGAGAAACGGGACCGGTGGAGAGCCGAGGAAGTAGGGCCTGGGAAAGCGGGAGGGAGACCCGAGCGTAGGGCGCAAAGCTGGACCGAGGACCCGAGGACGCGGAGGGAGGGCCGAGGTCGCGGCCGCCGGCAAGCGGAGGGAACGCGGAGGCGGGGGAAAGCCGCCAGTACCTGCAGAGATCGTCCAGGACGCTGCCGGGAATCTCCAGGCGTTTGGACTCCATGATGAGGACCCGCAGCAGGCACAGCGCATCCCGGCTCCGCTTAGCCGGCACCGTAGAACAGCACGGAGACTCGGGCCCGAGGATTCTCGAACCCTCTGCGGGGACCCCAAGGCTGGGCCGAGGCGAGGGGCGGAGCCCTCGGGCCACGCCCCCTCCGCTGGAAAGGCCCAATGGGAAGCTGGGGGGCTCGCGCCTGCGCGCATCTCGCCAATGAGACGTTTGTTTATTGGTCCATGGGCTCCAATCAGTCCGCAGGCTGCTCAGTTCCTGCTCAGAAGACCAACTTCCCGCCGCCTTTGAGCGAGCGCACGAGGGCGTGCCCGCGCCTGCGTGTCCCGTGCACCTTTACTACGGTGCTGGGAAGTTTTGAGCTCCCATCCTGGGACACCGCCCCTCCACATTCACGACCCCAGCAACTCCGGTTTGGTCACAGAGGCTCCCACTTTACCGTAACCGACCCGAGGCACTCGTTTCTTGGGCGGCAAAGCCCAGAGCACCTGTTAAACAGGGGCGATTATCCGCGATTGCTGTCACCAAGCATTCTGCACACATGCTCACCACCGATTTCATTACTTCTAGGCCAAACGCTATGCCCCTGAAAGAAATATTAGTCCCATTTGTGTGAGCATATAGGGTCTCGCCACGTACTCCAGGCTGGCCTTGCCTTCGCCGTCCTCTAGCCTCAGACTTCTGAGTGCTAGGACTATAGGCATGCCTCACTACCGATAGTTATCCGACGCCTTTTTTTCTTTTAAATGCAGACTGTGAAGGAGCAAGGATTCCAAGGAAAAATCCTTATGCTCCTCTGGTTGGCTACCAGAGTATAGAAACAATGGTCTCCAAGGAACTGCAGTTTCCTCCCAGTAATCTCAAGATAAGAAAAAGAGTAGGCTTGAAACTTGGTGCCAGTCATAGGAGGAACGCGTTTCCCAAGAAGAGACTTCGCGCCAACTTCCCGCGGCCTTTGACTGTGTGCAAAGGAAATGGTTACGTATAACGATGGGTCAGGGAGGAGCCGAACTACACTGGACCAGGTCTTGTCTTCAAGTATTTAAATCTAAGTCCCACGTCAGAACTCCAAAGGTAGACTGGGGGACGATTTCACAAGACCTCTTTACTCCTCTCCCCAGTGTGCACACACGGAAAACACCATCCTTCTCTGCTTCACTGCTGCTTGTCTCCCTAATGGGCCTACTGAGTTAGGACAGGAGGCTTGTCTTGTCAGAGCTGCTGAAGGCCCGGGCTCTGACCCTAACAAGTTCTGTAACGCGAAGACAAGAACCTCATCCCTCTGTTTGACACCAAATGAGCTCAGAAAACACAGACTAAACTTGTGATCGCTGTTCCGCTCCTTATGCTCAAACACACCACTTCAACCTGCCCCATTCTCATTCATTGTGTTTGTTGCTTAACAGAGTCCAATTCATTCAGGGAACTTAGAGGAACTGAATCCGTCTGTTCTTCCCCTTACATCAAGCCCCTCCCTCCCCAGGTCCCACCTCAACCCGAGATACCTCCTCTGTCCCAGGTTCGGCTTGTTCTACTATTTAATTTCTCTTTTTCCTGTTTTCATAGTAAGCGCTGCCTGACTAGTACTTCCATTTTCATGCTTGACCTGAGAAACCTGCATACTTTTTTTAAAATTCTGTTTTAAGCAGGTTACTATTTTTCAGCTTTGGATCATCCCCTCACCAGCGGCATTAAATGCTGGTTTGTGTTATCCCTTCTACTTGGGCTCAAGATGCAAAACACTTGCATCCAGCTGTTTTACTCTCCAGCTTTCTGACTTTATCTTTTCGTCCCATCTTGGAGAATCTCTCATTTCATCTTCTGGTATTTTTAGGGCTTTTGATTTTCTGAAGTTCTCATTTGTTCTTCAAGTGCTCCTTTCTTTTGATGCTCCTCCCTCAGAGACAAAAAGTAATATATTTTTTAAAGTTTTTCTTTTCCCTACTCTAGTATTCCTTTGGTATTAAGCTGGTTTCTAGCTGCTGTGTTAGTTTTCTATGTCCTTGACTCACACACTTAAGAGTAAAGCCAGAGTCTAATGCTATAAAAGCTCATAGCATAAGGGAAATTGTTTTCTAACAGATTTATCTATATAGTACTTGACTTTAGTGTTATATATGTGTATGTTTCAGATAATTTAAAGGACTTATTTATTTGTTTACTTTACATAAGAGCTCTATCTGAATGTATACTTTTATGCCAGAAGAGGGCATCAGATCCCATTGGGAGCCACCATGTGGTTGCTGGGAATTGAACTCAGGATCTCTGGAAGAGCAGCCAGTACTCTTAAACGCTGAGCCATCTCTCCAGCTGTTTCAGAAAAAAATTATTGAGAATTTTACTAGTGGATATAATATATTCCAGCCATACCCACCTCACATTCTGTCTCTTCTGATCTTGCTTACTGCATCTGGGGAGAAACCTAGTATCAGGGTACAGAAAGCCTGTCATTCTTCTAAAGAATTCAAAATGGGGGCCCCTTGTGGGTTGGCCTTGGCACACATCTGGCAGGAAGAGTGAGCTATAAAATATGGACTCAAAGATGGGTGGAATCACAGGGAGTCTCTAGGAAGTGAAACAAAGCCTTTGGGCCTATGTGTAAGGTCTGGTGGATATCTGAAACAGTAGAGAGTGCCTGATCCTGGGGGAGGCTGAGACAGTTATTTAAGTGGAACCATCTGTCTTTTGTTTATGTGGCCTCTTTATTCAGGAGTTTGTCCCTCTCCTCTGCTTGGTTACAGCTCTGATAGGAGGGTATCAAAACCAAAATATGTCCTGTAGACCCAGTGAAGCTGGAGGTCAGTCCCTGGGCTACTGAGTTAGCCTTGGCATTGCCTAAGGCCACTGTGTCCCTGGAGGACTGATGTCCTCAACAGTGGATTATGGCTACCTCTGCAAGGAGCTGGAGGACTGATGTCCTCAGCAGTGGATTGTGGCTACCTCTGCAGGGAGCTGGAGGGCCTCCAAGAGCTTGGCTACAAGAGGTCTGTTGCCAAGAGGAGTGTCCTTGGTATTGAGGAAACACCTTTCCTTCCAAAGGATAGGATGGGTATGGGCTATTAAAAATGCATAGAATGAGTGTAGATGTTAGCCAGTAGACTCTTAGCTGTTTGGAGTGCTCTAGTCAAGGCAATTAATTCAGCCTTTTGTGAAGAGGTCCTCACCGGCAGACAAGTTGCTTCAACCATGTTAGTGGAAGTGATCACCCCATAAGCTTCCTGGTGGTTTTCTGATCTGTCTTTTAGAGAGTTTCCATCTACAAAGAGGGTAAGTTGCAAGTCTGTGAGGGGTTGGTCTAGGAGACCAGGCTGAAGTGAGTGTAAGGCCTCAACAGCCTCTGGGCAGGAGTGGGAGGGGCTATCAGAGGAGTATGGGACAGGGAGGAGGGTTGCAGGATTTAGGGCAGGGATGGAGGCCAAGGTAATTGGGGGGGGGTTCTACAAATAGTAAATGAAAGACTTGGACCCTGAGGGTCCAAGAAGGGAAAGGGAAGGTCCAAGAGGTGGTGGGTGGAGTCTACAGTGATTGACTGAAACGGGATCATTGGGGTCTCCTGGGTGAGTTCAGCTGCTGCTGGCGCTCTCAAACATGGCTGCCACCCACACATGGTGGGGTCTGGCTGTTTGGAAAGGAAAGTGACATCCTGATTCGAATGGTTGGGCCAGAACCCTGGTAGCCAATCTCACCTTTTCATCTATAAAGGGGTGGGAGAGGCGGGTGGAGTCTGGGAGAGCTAGGACCCATAGGGCTTAGGATGGTGTCCTGCGGTAAGGAGAAGTGGCGGCACATGGCAGCCAGGTGGTGAGGGGCCACTATGTGGGGGGGGGGTCGTCTCTCTGGCGGCCTGGTACAGGGGCTTGGTTGTGATGGCAAAGTTTGAGATGAAGTGATGGAGCAATCTCATCAGACCCCCAAATTAGAGAATCTGATCCACTGTGGGCAGGGGCTATAAGTCCCGCAGGCCTCAGACTTGATTAGAGGTAAGGGTCTTCGACAGAAAGGAGGGGGTCCCATCCACTCCCGTGACAGGAATTGTGAGAGAAATCTGTGGGACCCAAGAGAGAGGTCAAGACAGAAAAGCATTTTCCTGGGCTGGGTGAGGGTGATGGGAGTTTCCAAGTCTGGGTACCATCAGTCCTCTGCCAGGCTAAGGAGCTCAAAGGCTGGAAGAGTGTCAGACACCTGTGTAGGTGGTTATAGACCTCCAAAGTGTAACAGGAGGCAAGCCCCCATTCGGGCATTCCACCTTCCAGAGGCTAGGCTGCGGGCAGACAGGGCATGGCAGAGCTGACTTTGGCTGGACCGGGGCAGGATGGGGCCTTACAGACTTCTTTTGTTCCCTCTGTGGGAGTGCTGATGTCCTCAGGGCAGTGGCCAAGGCAGGAGCCTGGAGCCGTCCACTGCAGCCCAGCTTGCTGGGAAGACTCAGTTGCCTCCTCTCTGGCGTTAAAAACCTTAGAAGTCATTTTCACCAATTCCTGTATGGGGATTTGGGAACCATTCCCAGCCTTTTAAAGTTTCCTTCTCATATCTGGTGATGACTGAGAAAATGAGATGGGTAGCCAGGACCGTGGCAACCTCTCGGAGGGGACAGAGGAGGACAGGGGTCTGATGAGACCAAGCATAAGAAGCCATTGGGGAGGATTCAGGGGGAATTGGCAGTGTGTGGATGGGGACCAGTGTGTTGCAGATTGCGGCATTGCAGAAGCAGAGGGGATACAGAGAGGCAATAGAAGGAGGGAGAGAGGAGGGTGGGTAAGGGGGAGGAGGTTGGTCCTCAGCCTCTGTGCTGGGAGGGGAAGAAATGAGGAGGGGCAGGTAAGAGGAAGAAGGTTGGTCACTAAAGTGGAGCATGTGGCAGTATGGGGGGGGAGTACACAGGGTTCGGGAAAGGGGCCGGGATGCCAGTGACTCAGGTTCAAGTTCCCAGATAAACTCGGTTCTGGAGGCGCCACAGCCCTATCCAGAAAACCTGGGCCACTGAGCACTGACTATAGTGGGACGGAGTGGGAATACAGAACCCCAAAGAAAATCACGTGTTTGGGTGTGAGGAGTCCAAATTTGGATAAATTTTTCAGCACAGTGGTGACTGGGTTTAGACTGGATGTTGCCTGTGCAGGTGATCAAAGACTAGGGGAAGTGATTCTACACGATAGCCTGGGATGGAGCAGTGGGGGTGGGGTAGCTTTTGGGAAGGACGTCCCTAGAGGTCTCTTGGAACAGAGAATGTCTTTGCTCCAGGGTGAATGGGCTTGCCCTGCTGTGGCCATGGCTTGGCAGGGCATCCCAAGGGTACTGGACCCAG